GTGATTGCGGTCGTTTCATACGGTGTACCGACGCCTCCATCGCCTACGACACCGCCTGTCCAGAAGGTCTGCACTTTAGTCCGAGCGCTAAGACTTGCGAACCGCCAGAAGTGGCCGGTTGTGTCAATTGTCGGCCGACCACCAGAAAGCCCAGGACTCCGAGACCCACTCGCAGGCCACCACACACTACTCATAAGCCAACACCACAGCCCACCACCACTACTACTACTACTGAAAAGCCAACTCCCAGGCCGACCACCACCACTACTACTACCCAAAAGCCAACTCCCAGGCCGACCACCACCACTACTACTACTGAAAAGCCAACTCCTAGGCCTACCACCACCACTACTACTACTACTACCCATAAGCCAACTCCCAGTCCGACCACTACGACAACCCGCCGGCCTATCACTACAACATTGGCTCCCATAGTAACCACTGACGGCTGTACGTGCGTCTGTCCGACCACAGCACCCGTCACCATCAGTACCACACCAACACCTACTAGTACACAGCCCACCAGCGCCCGGACCACAACGACTACCTGGCCCACCACTAGACGCCCTACAACTACGCCGAAACCGGGTTTCCAGTGCCCCGTAGAGGACATCATACGCACCCTATGCTTAGGCCCTAAGGATTGTCTCTACCCTAACCCGGATGGCTGCGACACATACATCCACTGCACGGTTGACTACGGCAGTCGCACCGGTACGCCAGTGGTGATGCCCTGTCCCGGTGGGCTGTTGTGGAACGATAACATTAAGGAGTGTGACAACCCCTCCAAAACTACCTGTCCACGAGGTTACTAGATGTTTGTGGGGGACCTCATTGTTTGAATATAGGTTTATGTCATTTGAAAGCCTTTCTCACAGACAGTAAATATACACAAAAATACGTTCATTTGAATCAGCGATCAATAATTTATGACTAAAACAGATAATAATAAACTTTAAAAATGTTTTAAATTCATTGAAAATGTCTTCAAATTAAGGTCAATAAACCACAATTTTTTTTGTAATTTATTTTATCAAATTTTGAATTAAATTGATTTTGTATAAAAGTTTATTAAGTCTTTAATTTTAATTAATTATAATCATTTTGTTTTAATATATATTTGTTTCATATTAAATGCAATTTTATTATAGAGGTATTTGTTATTTTCATTGCAAAAAATGGATAAGTTATCCAGGATAACTCTTTTCAAACACATAGATTAATGAAAGGCATTGAAATTCTGCAAAATTAATTTAACCAGATTAAAATGTTTAAAAAAATATTTTTATTATATTTTACTTTTGATAAATTTTTCATTACATGTGTTGGCACCTACACACTTAAGCTGTATATTTTTAAAATCAGTTTTATAACCAAAGTATAAAAATAGAGCTTGCTGAAACAAAATAAATTAGAACTTTTTATTAAATAACAATTTAGCCTTTTGATTTAGAAAATAATTTTTAAAATTATTTGTTTATAATTTGTTTATTATAACATACACCTTAATTATTATAATATTTTACAACAATTAAACAATTCATTCATTCATTATTTTATTGTGAAAATAAAATATTATATAATAATAGTATATATTTTAGTGTGTTTCGTATTAATAGCTTTAAAAATTTAAATTTCATTTAAGTAATTGTACAGTTAATTGGCTGATCCGTGCCAATATATGTGATCCTGGACGAAATACTCGTATCCCTAATAGCCCATACGTTACGGCTATCGCTGCAATTAAATTCATTAAACGCGAGTACTAATGAACTATTAGGGTGACCAGCAAAAAAGTCCTCAAAAATACTCTTGTCCAAATAAGTCCAAAATGGTGGTATTGGGTTAATGTTACCATATATATCAATTGAAATGTTGATTACAGTCATTTTAACTGGACGACCTAGATTACTTAAAGCTTTAGTATCAAACGATGAGCTTGTTAGATTGGGATTGTTTATTAACTCTAATAGTAGCGTATTGTTTGAAGGATTAAATGTGAGAATATTTTTCCCAATTCCTTGTAATTGTGTTTCTTGTAAGACCAAAAAGTTTAACCGGAGTAGTCCATAAAATGCGTACTGCTCAATTAGGGTCAGGTTCTCTTGTAAAACAATATACTCCAAGTTTATCAACCCATCGAATGCTTTATTTGGAATAAAAGTTATGTTTGTATAACTTAACTGTAATCTTTCGAGCTTGGTGAAATTTTTAATAATTTCAAATATATCGGCTCCATTTGGATTTAGGTTAGGTGTGCCCGATAATACAAATGACCTTAGGGGGTGTCCACTAAATGCATTGACATCTATAAATTTTAGTGACTCGTCAACATCAATATTAAAGGAATTGAACTTGAATTCTGCAAAATCATTTGAATTGATCATGGTGATATTAGTGCCCATTAGTCTTAGGTCACTAAATGAGCTTATTTGACTTGGTGATAAACGTTGACTTAAGTTGGTAAATATTGGTGCCAAATTAGTGATTGTGTTACCTTTACAATATAATATGAAACGATCTTGATTTGAATTGCTTGGTGATACATCATAACACAAACAAGGTGACAGGTCAACAGATGGACATGTAGCTAATAAACGTCCATAATTAAGTGTCACAAAAATTAAACATATAAATGCGATTGACTTTAATGAAAACATTTTTAAAATTAAATATTTTTTAAGTATTAACAATATTTTTGCAATATTTTTACTTTAGTGTTTTATAAATTTTTATTTTGTATGACTATACTATTTATATAAAATATATTTGTAATAACTCTCCCATATATGTTTTTATCATAATGATAAATATTTGTTCAAATGTTGATAACATTATTCATACATTTACTTTTAGATTAAGCTAGATGATTACACGTTTATATGAAATCGTTAAAAGACAAACATACTAAGGACATTAGGGACAAGGTCTCTGTTCATATATAATGTTACATTTTAGGTGTAAGTATATCATACAATATTAAGGTTGTTTAATTGACAATACACTGCAAATTAAGTTAATAAAACAACAACCATTTATAAATGTATATTAAGAGTGTTATCGGATTTATAAAAACGTTATGAATATTTAGTTATGTTGTGCCACTAAAGATTAAATACATGTTTGCACCAGGCTGTCACTTTATATGTGAAGATACTTTGACTAATAGATAGCAAGGAAACGTTTACTGGTATAAAAGATAATAATTTTTATGTAAAATAATACTTGTACATTGTAGTATATTTCTAATAATTGTGACAGGTTCATTTGGCAACATATAACACTTTAATATGTTTAATATGTGTGTCATAACGACACCATAAGTTATGATTCATAACCACCTGTCAATTCAGAGCCTATGCCGGATATAGATCTTGATAAGAGTACCGTATAATAGGTTTAATTGTCTTGATATTGTCAAAAATATTGCGTCCATAATTACACATTATGGTTGTAATCAGCCAGTTAATTTTTTAAAAATAAGCTACAAATTGTTAAAGTGATTAATACTAGAAATATTGAATTTATAGTTTACAAAAGAATTAATTTGTTATTGAATGTTGAATATAATAATTAGATTTATAATGAATATTTATTTATTTATTTTTGAGACAGATGTTTACAATTGTTTAAAAAGCCGATTCAATACACGTATAAATAATATATAGACAATAAACTTTTGCTATTTACTAATACATTAAAAATGAACATATAATATTTTTAAAAAAAATTAAACACTGATTGCTTTCATTAATTTATTTTAAAATGAATTTATAAAACTTAATATTGTTTTTTATTTATTTTTTCAATTAGCATTCATACTTTTTTATAAGTTTATTATCTTTACTGTATATATGATTTTTTAAATGGAATAAAATGGATCTTTATTAATCAAATAAATTCGCCACCCTTATACCACAAAAGTATCATAAGGGAAGCTCTCTATTACAAATTAATAAAAACAATAATTACTACATTAAAAATTAAAATTGAAATTATAATGAACTAAGAATATATAACTTTACAAAAAGTAATAAAATACGAAAGCAAATCAGATGACATAAAAGCACTGTATATATTGATGTATGTGCTGGCTTACATTAAGACTGCTCCTTCATAATTTATTTTAAAAACTTTTTAAACACTTTTAAATAATACTTTCTCATATTCTTAATTATGATATATTATTTAAATGTTTACTAGGTTATTCATATAGCGTTAATTATTAATTTTAATATATAATTATAAAAATATTATTTCATATTTGATAATTGAATTCAAATATATTTTTTTTATTAAATAATAATATACAACTGTATAATATAACTTTAATTTAACATTTTTAAGAATATTTGTTTTTAATTCTACAAGCTTGTTAATAAATTTTTCAAAAAAATAAATAATATATATTTATGACCAGTTAAGCTGACATTATCAATATCTAATAGCCAATAATCAAGGAGAATTAATTTCTTTGCCAGATAATTCCATTACAATTGTAAATTATATCTCTCCCGATACTATTAAATGTAATCCTGGATGAAATATTTGTGTCCATAATAATCCAATCATTACGGCTATCGGTGCAATTAAATGCATTATTATCGAGATTTATTGAATTACTAGGGTGACCAGAAAAAAAATCGGCAAAAATTCTCTCACTCAAATAAGTCCACTTTCCGTAATAGTAATCTTCAGGCTTGTTCGACACTTTTATTTTTATTGGACGTCCAAGATCACTTAGCGCCATAGTATGAAATGATGAGCTATTTAGTAGGGAATTGTATATAAATTCAAACTTTGTATAATAATTCTTAACATTGTATCGTTTAAGGGACTAAATCTAAATATATTTTTCCCGATTCTCCGCAACGGTGTCTCTTGTAACCATAGGTAGCTTAACCCGGGTAGTCCATAAAATGCGTACGGCTCAATCATGCTCAATTTGTCAGCTAAATAAATTGTTTCTAAATGTGTCAACCCATTAAACACATTATCTGGAATGAAAGTTATATTAGTATTTGTTAACGACAAACCATTGAGCATTGTAAAATTTTTGATAATTTCAAATATATCGACTCCATTGGGATTAATATTTTGTGTATTTCTTAGCTCAAGCAATATTATGTGGCGCCCATGAAATGCGTCTATGTCAATAAACTTGAGTGTTGAATCATCCTGAACATGAAAGTAATCGAAAGTGAATTCGGAAAATTCAGTCGAATTTAACATGGTAATATCAGTGTTAACTAAACGCAGTTCATTAAATGTGTTTATTTGACTTGTTAATAAACGTTGACGTATGTTGGTAAATATTGGTGCCAAATGGGTGATTGTGTTACCTGTGCACATTAATGTAAATCCGCGTTCATCTGAATTAATTCTATATTATTGAGTGCATGAACAAGGTGATAGTAGGTTATCCGATGGACATGTAGCTAATAATCGACCGCAATTAATAGTCACAAAAATAAGGCAAATCAATATACTTAACTTTGCTGAAAGCATTGTGCAATTAAAATTTTTAAACGTCAACAATATTTTTAAAGAATTTTTAATTAAGTGTTTAAAAAAATTATTTCATTTAATTTGTATAAATATACTATTTATATTAGTATAAAATATATTTGAATTAAGGTTTCCCTATTGGTTTTATAGCAATGATAATTATTTTTATTAATGTTGATAACATTATTCATATAAAGAATTAATTATGTAAGGTTTCTAAAAATATTTACGTTTAGATTAAGTTAGATAATTAAATTCAAAAACAAATTTTTGCTAAATAAAAGTTATGTAATCTTTGTTTATAATT